CACACACACCCACACCCACAACCACACCCACACCCACACCCACACACACACACACACACACACACACACACACGCACACACGCACACACACACACGCATAGAAAACACATTGAATCGCAGCAAAACAGACTCAGACTCGGAATTCTCTTTTTCTTTTGTTTTGGACCATTTCTGGATTTATGCATGTCATCCTTGCGCAGGGGCCATACAAATCTTCTTTCTTTGTACCGTTCCAATTTTAACGGATGTCCCAAAGTACCAGACTCAGAATTCCCAGAAAACAGACCCAAAGAACAGCATTTTCTCAGAAATTGCGGGAATCTCAGACACAGATTTTGTGGGGGTCCTTGCACCCCTGAAAAACTGGTGCGAAGGTCCAAGAACACAAATTTCTGTACGCATAGGAGGTTTGGTGCTACTATGTTTGTTAGCATTGTTACCGATGGGCCTACCTCAGGTGGTACAACCATGTACTGTTGAAGTACACACCCAAGTTTGAGTCCAGATGCAATCCAATGAACAGAATTTGCCTGGGCTGGTCACTTCGATGATGATATCTCAAGGCTGTGGTCCTTCTGGGGAAAAAAAAAAGGAGGAAGAGGAGAAAGCACCACCACAGTGAAATACACACAGTGGCAGTTTGAAGCACAAGTTTCTGATTCTGGCGCAAGTTTGTTCCTTGGACAAGTTTGATCCCTGCATAAGTTTGATAACCGCCGCGCAAGGTTTGTTTCTTGTCTTTCTAACCGTTAATTATTATTATTTAAAACAAGTCACTGCGCAAGTTTGATTCCTCGAGGTGGGAGGCGGGAGGTGGGAGGTGGGAGGTGGGAGGTGGGAGTGATGATATCGTATTTTGAACTTGATTGGTCAATGTCTCCATCAATTACACAGCTGAGTGTTGACTTTTCAACTTCTTGGTGGAGAAAAGTCAACCAATCGGCAGGACCTTTCCTCCATGAGTGTTGACTTCTTGACTAAGGGGCTCGCCACACCACTGTCGAAGTGAAAAACAAACAAATGCATCGTCCTGAGGAGAAGGGCAAGATGCATGGGTTACTACGAATAGCAACCGGATGCATCTCACCACTTTCTGGGTCAGGTGCATTCATTCTTTTTGGGTTTCGACAGTGGTGCGGTGAGGCACTAAGTGCTTGGCTGGTACAGCACAGTCAACCACTTGCCTTTCGTCCATGAGCGTTGACTTCCTGACTTCTTGGTCAAGAAGTCAACCAGTCTGTCTGGCAAGTGGTTGGCTTGTACAGCGCATGCAGGCTATTGGTTCTTCTTGGAGTAGAGAAACACACCTGGATAGTTCGGTCTTTCCCTGAGCACAATGTACCTTCATCATAATATAATGGACATGTACAACCTGTGTTTCCTGGTCAGATACGGTCATTACGAGGGTGCGTTATGTTCGGGGGAAGAAGGAAGTGAACAGTCATAATGATTGATGATCATGGGGAGGGTTTTTGAAAGGGTTTCACACAATTCTGCCTCTCTAAGTACCATCTCTAGTCCTAGAATTCCCAAGGTTCCATTGTGTAACATAGTCCCACTGGGAATCTCTGGTTGGGGTCCATTTCTACAGACCCTTAGCTGAAAGGACCCTTAGCTTGAAAGGGCCCTAGAATTCCCAAGGTTCGAGTGCGACCAAGTTCTGTAGAAAGGGCCCTTTGCTTGAATTGGTGGTGTGGGGTCTGTAGAAATCTCCGGTGGGCTGTAAGCATCCAGTCTCAGACAAAAGTCTGAGTCGCAAAAAAATAGCAGGAGCATCCAAGGAAAGTCTGTTAACTTCCGGAAGTGGAAAGAAATCCCGGCCAAGAGGCCAGAGATCGGTACTGGTCTAAGGGGTCAAAATTGCAAACTGCAGCAAGTACAGAACGACCGCTACAGTGAAAGGAAAAAGACTCGTTCATTCAAATTGTTGCAGAAGCTCTGCTGTTGCTTGTGCGACCAAGTTCAAGTGCGACATGGCTGGGGAGAGTAGGGTACTCCACCGCAAGCCGCTGTAGCCAGGGCTTAGAAGCGGAGGGGGAGAAAAAGTGTATGTGTGTGTGTGTGTGTGTGTGTGTGTGTGTGTGTGTG